GCTCATGACATCATTGAGGTGCTCAAGCTCCAGCGCCCCGACAAGGCGGTGATCCTTTGCTGGAGTTTTACATACATAGTTACATATTATAGTATTAGGTATAATAGCTAAGATACTGTTAGGGCACTATGTTAGCATAAAAATAGTTACACAATTAGTTTTATTTTCTGAGATGTTGTGTAAGTGTGTTCCCTTCAACTGGTCATTCCAGAAGCACCTACATGGCCCTCTCCCTCACTTTTGACTTGATAGGAGGGGAGCTAGTTCGCGGTAGTGCCACAGGTGGCTCAAAGACCTTGGTGCCCATTACAGTCAGTTGTGCAACTGTGAGGTCTAGAGTAATTATAATATATTTATATTTATATTATGCTAAAAGTGTGGTCTTGGTCAAGGAACTTGCAGTTGTAGCATGTCATTTGTGGACTTTTGACCAGAGGTAGGATTTTCCTTTTCTTGTTATTGATAGTCATTTGTCAGGGGTGCTTTGATTGTGTTTTCTTGCACGGCAGGGAGTTGGATTGCATTACCCTTGTAGTCTCTTCCAACTTTATAAGTCTATAATTCTATTTTTAATTTTATGTTCAACATTAAATTTAGCAATTTATTATATCGATGTTCACTCAGCATTCTGTACAATCCTCAGTGATGGGTTGACAAATTTCTATTTGCTTAGTCAAATAGTTGTCAGTGCTTTCCCCGCTCCACCGCCCATGTAATGCATTCAATTAATGAAACCAGGATTTAAACCATTCGTTCAGCTTGACCTTGTTAAACAGGTGAACAAACTCCATAGTACAGCACCAGGTTTCTTGTTAACATTGCCAGTGCAAATATTGAGATTTATTATAAGAAGCAGCAGGAGCAAATCTTGTGATTCAAAACTTCAATTTTTTGTAAAGCAACTACAGAGAAGAATTACAATGGTGTGAGATTTTACAACAGAAGCTCAAATCAGCCAAACGGATTGTTAAAGTGGAGATATGGCAGTTCTGTATGAAATGTTGTGCTCCTTGATTAATATAAAATGGCTTTCACAAACATTTTCTTCATATTGATCAACTTATTCCAACAAGATTGACTTAGATTATTTTGGTGACTCATGTAAGAATACACCAGGAACTTTTTCTAGGGCCATGGCCTTAAACCTCTGGAGGGCTAGGACTCCACTATAATCACAGTCAGTATCATGGGGATTATTTCTCATTATTTACATCCTCCCTCCCTCTCTAAGGGTACACAGCATAAATACTGATTTTAAGAACCTTCTTTCCTGAGAGTGCTTTTATAGAAAAGGAGAGCCAGAAATTTCTGAGTGCCCTCCCCATATTAAAGTTCTCTAGGTTTGAGCTGGGGCAGGAGCAATGGCAACAAAAACAGCTGAAACAGTACTGAATGGGTATAAAATTGAAGAACAGATACAGATTTTCAGTGTCTTTTATCCCACCTAACTTTCTAATCTGTTGAAAATGAGATCCCATTGGCACAACATTCACACATGTAGAGTCTTCGATCTACATGTGGATTTTGATCTTCTTAAAATGCATCAACGTTATGACCATCACTTAAACGCCCTGAGTCCCTTTGGGGAGATAGAGCAGAATATAAATAAAGATTGTTATTATTACTATTATTATTATTAAGCCATCATGCAGGGATGTAGCTAGAGGGGGGGAGGGTTAAGGGTTCAACCCCCCCCCCCCCAATGTGACAGGTCAAAAAAACTGATTTACTCATTAATGTTAACTGGTTAATCAATTCATGAATGAACCAGTATTTTTTAACCTGACACATTTCGGGGGTGGGGGTGGCAGGGTTGAACATTAACTGCCCCACTCTGGCTACGGCCCTGCCATCATATACAGTGACTTAATGTATGCTTCCACTTACCACCCTGCAAACAACCCCTGTAAATAACTTTGTCAATTTTACGCTTAAGCCCTGGATTGGGTGTGGCTGCATATTTAGTTGGCAACATTTTATAATAAAGAATATACAGCCAGAGTTTTGGTGATGAAAACAGCCAAGCACTTTCAGAGATGCCAAAGGAAGTGAGTCTATTGGACCAGTTAGACACTGAAGGGGCCAAAATGGAGAATTTGAGGAATTTTTGACTTGAGACTCATCATACTGTGTCTAATTTCTTTTCCCACCCTTGTAGGTTCTTCCACGGTGGATTTGCTCATCTACCAGACATTGTGCTACACTCATGATGAATTGCGTGACATTGACGTGGATGACTTTGTTCTGAAACTTTGTGGCCTGGAGGAATTCTTGCAAAAGTAAGCAACTGAAGAATGCTTGTGCAGAGAATTTGAATCTAAAACCCATTTATGTGGGAATGAACCTAGTGAACTCTCAAACAGGCTTATTTCTATATAAATAAGTGTAGTATTGTGCTGCCATGTCTGCTCTTTGGCCTTTGCTGGACACTCTAAACTCTGTTATCTCCTGTTTGCTGGAAAAAACATATTCAGACATCTGTGGGTGGCAGTATAAAGGGGGCTAACTTAATCCTCATTCTTTATCTTTTCTGTAAAGTCTGTTAGCAACTTTTTTGCATGGTCGGTAACTTTTTGTACTTTCAGCCTCCTTACAAATGTGTGTTCTGTAAATCTTGTAGGATTTTCAAAGGATGTCATTTACAGCAATCTCATCAAAACTAGTATTAGGCTGGGATGACCTGGCACAGTCCACATCTATTAGAATCCATTTTCCATAAGCCCATCCTTCAAGATCAACAGTAAGGGTTTATGGGAGCTGTGATATAAAACATCTGGAGATCACTAGGTTGGCTTAACCTTGTGTTAAATGTTATGGTACAGCCCCTTTCCTGAAGACTGAAAGTCCACCCTGAACTGTCAGAAAAGACAAGATACAAATTTGTTTAAAAAAATAGTTTTTGCCTGATTTGCCAAGACAGCATTAATCATAATTACATAGATTCAATTTGTATAACTCTATTATTTGATTTCTTTGTACAGTTGCTACCAGATTAGTCAATATTTGGCACAGAAGGCACACAGCTTCCCAAATGGGGTGATGTGATTCAGTCAATGGGATTATTTGAGCACCTGCAAGGAGTGTTGTTTCATTCCTAGTTCCTTAAATCAAGGAGATCTTCTTGCCAAGAGAGCCCCAATGGTGGTCTTCTATGGCTGTGTGAAGATGTGACTCAACCTCAATCATTGTGTATGTCTTGAAATTCATGCTGAATGGAAGAGTCACTCTGAGAGTCAGGAAGCTGCCAAGGAAAGCTCTTTAGATAATAGTAAATCTTAGTAAGCTCACAAATGAGTCAATGAAACTGCTTTTTTCCACTTGTGCTATGAAATCTGACTGGGTGGCTGTAAAATGGGCAAAGGATTTTGAGACATTCTGTCATATGAAATGTATGGGAGACTTTGGCATCCCTTATAACTGCGAAACAAATGTTGCCCAAAGGTGCCACCCCGAAAGGTGGATCTTATTTGAAATGCGGGAATATTTTGCTACTGGGGTGCTTTCCCTGTTTTATTTAGCCAGAAGAATAGCAGTTGCATTCCTCTATCCTTTTGCTTCTAGTGTCCTCTGATGTATTCAAACCAGTGATGTGAATTCCTCATCTTTCCATGGGCAATGTCTTTACAATACCTCAGATGCATTATTTGATCTTCTTTTTCTTTATTATGGAACAGTACATTTGGGTAGTCAGTTTTCCCCTGGCAGAATAAGGAGAATAACCTCATGCTTTCAAGAGAAAAAAATAGGCAAGTGATGTTCATTGATTAATGATGGAGACAACAAATCAGGATCAAATCTTTCATGTTCTTATCATAGCAATCAGATGTCTTCGCCTGTTCTTCTTGACCACAGTGTGCTTCCTTTCCCCCAGACAGCTTACTCATTGATGTATGCTTGCTTTGAGAGTGGCTTTGTAGTTTTGAACTTAAGAGCTTGTGGTCCATTTACAGTGACTGGGAATGCAAGCTGGCAAGTGCAAACAGATTATTACCAGTACTGGCTGGTTAGTGAAACATGTTTCAAAACCACAGAGCCCTCTGCGGAGAACCTCTCTGTGTGTACACACATGGCAGAGAATTGGAGAAAGAGAGTAGATGGAGAGTTTGCACACTGAAAGCTTGATCAAGGGTGAAAATCTTCCTAATTGATTCTAGTGTTCATTTAAGAATAACTGAAAATGTAGATATTTTTTAGAATTATTTCCTACTATTATGGATCACCAACAGTACACAAAGTAGTTTAAATGACAGCCTAAATTTCTCTGCATTAATAGAAGGTAGTAAGTGTGTTTTGTGTGTGTGTCTAAATAGATCAAAGATCTAAGTATATCACTTTTGAGATTGCTAGATCCCTTTAACACAGTGTGTCTCAACCTGGAAATTGGGACCCCTGCGGGGATTGCGAAGGGGTGTCAGAAAGGTTATGAAAGACTATCAGAAAACACAGTATTTTCTGTTGATCATGGGTGTTTTGTGTGGGAAGTTTGGCCCAATTCTATTGTTGGTAGGGTTCAGAATGCTCTTTGGGTGTAGGTGAACTATAAATCCCAGCAACTACAACTCCCAAATGTCAAGGTCTATTTTCCCTAAAACTCCACCAGCTGTTCACATTCGGGCATATTGAGTATTTGTGCTAAGTTTGGTCCAGATCCATCATGGTTTGAGTCCACAGTGCTCTCTGGATGTAGGCGAACTACAACTCCAAACTCAAGCTCAATGCCCACCAAAGCCTTCCAGTATTTTCTGTTGATCACGGGAGTTCTGTGTGCCAAGTTTGGTTCAATTCCATTGTTGGTGGAGTTCAGAATGCTCTTTGATTGTAAGTGAACTATAAATCCCAGCAACTACACCTCCCAAAAGGACCAAGTAGCAACAGTAAGAACTGACCACGGAAAAACAGACTGGTTCAAGATTGGGAAAGGCGTACGGCAAGGCTGCATCCTCTCACCCAACCTTTTTAACTTGTATGCAGAACACATCATGCGATGTGCGGGGCTGGATGAATGCAAAGCTGGGGTGAAAATTGCTGGAAGAAACATTAACAACCTCAGATATGCAGATGACACCACTCTGATGGCCGAAAGCGAGGAGGAGCTGAGGAGCCTTCTAATCAAAGTGAGAGAAGAAAGCGCAAAAGCCGGGTTGCAGCTAAACGTCAAAAAAACCAAGATTATGGCAACAAGAATGATTGACAACTGGAAAATAGAGGGAGAAACTGTGGAGGCCGTGACAGACTTTGTATTTCTAGGGGCAAAGATTACTGCAGATGCAGACTGTGGCCAGGAAATCAGAAGACGCTTACTTCTTGGGAGGAGAGCAATGTCCAGTCTCGATAAAATAGTGAAGAGTAGAGACATCAGACTGGCAACAAAGATCCGCCTAGTCAAAGCCATGGTATTCCCTGTAGTAACTTACGGATGTGAGAGCTGGACCTTAGGGAAGGCTGAGCGAAGGAAGATCGATGCTTTTGAGCTGTGGTGTTGGAGGAAAGTGCTGAGAGTGCCTTGGACTGCGAGAAGATCCAACCAGTCCATCCTCCAGGAAATAAAGCCCGACTGCTCACTGGAGGGAAAGATACTAGAGACAAAGTTTGAAGTACTTTGGCCACATCATGAGGAGACAGGAAAGCCTAGAGAAGACAATTATGCTGGGGAAAGTGGAAGGCAAAAGGAAGAGGGGCCGACCAAGGGCAAGATGGATGGATGGCATCCTTGAAGTGACTGGACTGACCTTGAGGGAGCTGGGGGTGGTAACGGCCGACAGGGAGCTCTGGCGTGGGCTGGTCCATGAGGTCACGAAGAATCGGAGACGACTGAACGAATGAACAACAACAACTCCCAAATGACAAAATCAATACTCCCCTCCCCCAACCTCATCAGTATTCACATTTGGGCATATTGGGTATTTCACTGTGCCAAATTTGGTCCAGTGAATGAAAATACATTCTTCATATCAGATATTTACATTACAATTCATAACAGTAGCAAAATTACAATTATGAAATACCAACGAAAATAATTTTATAGTTGGGGGTCACCACAACATGAGGAACTGTATTAAGGGGTTGGTAGCATTAGGAAGGTTGAGAACCACTGCTTTACCACCTTTTGGTCTGGGTTAAGTGTATAGCAAATATTTTGTGGCTGCAAAATGTTCTAGGGACTGGCTGCCTGTAGAAAGAACCCAGCCAGTCAGTGCAGAGTAAATTGAGGAAAGAATGTCCTAGACATGCAGCCAAAGAACTAGCATGAGTTTTTACAATATTTCTTACAAGTTTCCTTGATTTTTAAGATTATTTGTAAAGGGTGATATTGCCATCACCAGAAAAAAGACCTTCCCTTTATGTAACATGCCTTTACTGGAAACAGAAGCAAACATTTTGCGTCAGATGAGAAAAAAGTGATACTGCCAATCTAGAACCCACAGGCGCCTCCTATTCTGTTTCATTTTCCCTTCCAAAAAGGATCTGGCACCACAATTATGGAAAGCAGAGTCAATTCTCACTTTCCATTTTTTTTATGATGTGAGAAAGGTGGCCAGGAATTGGAAGGCTATGAAACAGACTTACAAAATGTGTGGCTCTCTAACCAGCACAGTGAAGGATAAGGAATAATGGGAGTTGCAATCCAATTACATTTGGAAGGCCACATGTTGTCCATGTGCAGTCTACAGAAATGAGACTATTTCCTTCCTATTGGAGGACTACTTTGATAAGAATGGGCAGAGAACCATTTCATTTAATTCCAGCTGGATTAGATGACTGAAGAAACTTTAATACCTGAAGCAGAGTCGCCCTGGTCACTCCTGTCTTGGTGATTAGTATCCAAGCTAGGTAAACTCACAAATGTAACTCTCTATCTTTCACAATAAAAATATGCAAATCGCCAAGACTCTACCCTTGGAAGGCTATCATACTCAGCTATGAGCGATTTTCTGTGATGAGACAAAAACGAATTAAAGTGCTCATCATTTGCTGTCCTTTAGGGATAGTATGTGCTGCCTGGGGAGGCTACCTTGCTCTACCTAATGATAGTGCTGACCTTGCCAACTATAGTAATTAAAATGGTTATTTAATCTTATACTTATTGTCTCCTTGGATACACTATATTCTGTAGAGTCCTTACTTGTGTTCTCATTTCTCTTCTCGTTTCTCATTTTCTTGGATTTGTCTCATCCCTAGCCACTCTAGCTAGCTGTGAGAGATGATTGGAGTTAGAGCCCAACATATGTTCTCCATCTCTGGCTCATGGATTCACAGTAATCCCAGGTGACCCAAATGA